CACAAGGCACAACACTTAGAACATCTTTTGTCTTGGATTAAGCAAAATCTCGTTTGAAAATAGCAACATGCATGTCCACTATCGATACCCAACCCCCTTGGTTCTCTCCTCCTAACTGGCAACACACTTGGAAAAATAAAATTCTTCAACAGTTGATTGTTTGCGAGTTAAACGATCCAAATAGACGGCTAAAACAACACCGTCAATAAAAGTATAATAATAAACAAAAATAAGGGGAGTACAAGGACAACATTTAGTGCCTTTGGAAGGCAAAAGCTTACTTTAAGGCTTTCACCTTACTAACTTTAAAGGTTTTAGCCCCTTACCTTATATTATAACATTTTTAACCCTTCATCTTACTAAATTTATAAGTTTTAGCCCCTCACCTTACACTATGACACTTTTAGCCCCTCACTTATTAAAATTAAAGAAAATATCCCTCACTTTGTAACATTTTGTTAGTTCTGTTAGCTAATTGTTAATTTTGTTAACTGACTGTTAATTCTATTAGTTAATTTTTAGTTGACTGTTAACTGTGAAAAACCTTCTTTTAACTAATAGACTTAATAGAAATAACTTTATAATATTTTGTTAATTCTGTTAATTGGCTATTAGTTAACTGTTAATTGATAAAAATCTACTTTCAGCTAACAGAGTTAACAATTAGTATAAAGTGAGGGTTATTTTCTTCAATTTTAATAGGTGAGGGGTTAAAAATGTTATAATATAAGATAAAGGGCTAAAAGCTTCAAACTTGGTAAGGTGAGGGGCTAAAAGTAGGTTTTTGCTGCCTTTGGAAAAGTAGAGGGATGACAATAAACAAATCCTTAGTATAGGGATGAACATGAATAAAAATTAAGAGTAGAGGGACTACAGTTGGCTTTAACCCAAACAAAATCAGGAGATTCTGGACTGAAGCACGAGGACACCCGCCACTCTGCCACTAGTACTAGGCTGCCCATTTGTACCATATTTCTTTAATTTAGTAGAATCACGATTTCATCCAATTTTATTAGTATTTATGATTTTAGCATGGGTCTGTGGGTGGTTAGAGGCCTCCTTTTTTTTTTTTCTTTTTTTCCTTTTTTACTTTTAGAGAAAA